AGATTTCGGCTTGATCTAGCAATTTGTATAATATTATCATCTATTAGCAGTTCAAATGATTCTTTGGTAGTCATTTTGAATTTTTGATGCAAGATTGAGATATATTTGCAAAATAATTGTAAAAATAAAAAAAAACATAAAAACACATTTCCACAAAAAACCAACGTAACTGGTATCGTGGGGGCTGCGCGGCCCCCAGAAAGTACGTAGCTCCATCCTTGTAAGTGCTACAGGGCCGAACATTTGGCACTCGCTAAGAGTCGCGACGTAATGAGATTACATAAAATGACAGCTGCGCACGATATTTAGATTTTTAGAAAATCGTAAAAATATGATGCGTGGGGCCGCGCGGCCCCCATAAAACCAGTTAAGGGTTAATATTATATTTCAATATAATATCAGAATCTAATAATTTTATCTTTATAATAATATTTTAATAATAAAATATATTCATTTTATTAAAGACAATTATTATTTATGAAGTTTTAATAAAATTTGTCATTTAAACATTTGTAAAATAGGTCAATATTCTAAAACTAATTTGTTATAATAACTGTGGATTTTTTAAGAAATAAAAAAATTAGAACAAAATAGAAACTGCTTATTTCAGGAATGTAATTTTAATTTCTAAATATTTTGAATTTTTATAATGTATCTTCAAAATCAATGGATAAAACCCAAATATTAAATTCAATTCATTTATTCTGAAGATAAATATTTTCTTACAATTACTGTTTTCTTTTAGAGGAATCCTTAGATATGTGAGGAGTTTTTACTTAGCAATGCAGTTTTAAGTCAGTCAAAAATAAATGAATAAAAACTAAAAATTTAGAAATTAAGTTTCTATTCCTGGAATCCTGAAATAAGATTAATGGGATAAGGAAAAACTACACATGGGTAATCTGCTAAGGAGAAACTGCCTATCGAGGACTTTCTATGGAACTGACCTCTATTCATGTTAAACATGTGAAGAAAACTCAGAAAACTCCATGTGGCCACTTGGTCAGGCATGAACCTGTGACCAACTACCAGCGTTCAGTGGTTTTATCCACTCAGCCACTGGCGAGCTATTCCTGAAATAAGAAATTTCTATTTTATTTTAAAAGTCTTCAGACCAGTAGTTATTTATTTGAATTGAATGATTTTCCAAATATATATTTATTTAATTAATATTTTTAATTTTTATATAGTAATAAAATTTATATTTTTGTATGCAAAAGGTTTTAAATTAAACAAAAAATATGCTTAGAAGGTTCCACAACTTTGAAGATTATATTATAACTTAAACTGTCAAACATATTTCAAAGCAAAACAGATTATTTATCACCAAAATGAATAAGCTATCATTGAAATTCTGTTTTTAAGTTTAGAATTTCATCAATTATGCAGATAAATGTCAAGGGAATTATACTTTTGTCATTACACCTCTGAATGAAACAGTTGGAATCTTAACGCTACATATAACCCTCAGTGAGATACAATCTCCCGAAATCGGCCTACTTCCAGGCCGCACACGATCAGGAGTATCATTGCTCCACTAAAGACTATCACATTAAACTATTTAGCCCACGTTGCTTTGTCATCTTTGAGTAGCTCACTAGACTGTTCGCGGAGTATCTGATGTTATATAGTTTTAGGGAGCATGGGGCTCACTCCATCACCAGTGCTTCTGTGCAAATGACTGCATCTGCCCCGTGCTCTACGTCAAGGCAAGCACGGAAAATAGGCATTATACTGGTTCACAGTAAAAGTTGACCTTCGGATGCAAATTTCTCTCATAGGGTGACACATACAGATATGGTTCCATTGACTTTTTTGCTCGTACGGGGGATCTATTACTCTGGGGGTGGCCAATTTCTCATTCATAATTCAAATCTTACTGAAATAAGAACGTTATATCATGGACTCATCTAATGTCAAAGAGATTTTTAAAAAAATTAATCGGTTGACTAATGAAAAATGAACGAGTAGGATGGAAAGCGTGAAGAATACATTAAGTTAAAAAGCTGAAGATCAGCCATCAGAAAGCTCGTATTAACAGNACACAAATGTTTTTGACTCCTTTGAGAAATCTTCTTTAGATCTTTACCATAGTAAATTTGAAAAGTTGAAGAGATTCTAGTTCTGGAATGCTTTTTAAGAATTCTTTTTTACATAGTGAAGAAACATTCAATTTAAAAATATTCTACCATTTTCAACTTTTCAAAGGAGTTGAAAACATTAGTACAGGACTGAAATTATCTGCTGGAAATAGTAAGGTTATAATTTTTATATTGTAAACTGAGGTTCCAGCTTGATGTTAACTATATTTTTCGTTTCAAATGTTCATCATCTGTATTTTAATATTAGAATGCAATATTTCTTATCCATTATAATTTTTATATACTGATTAAAACAAATTAATTTGAAATATTTTTAACTATTTAATTTGATAGTTGTTATATATTGTAATGTCTAAGCATTTAAAGAATTTATTTTTTAATATGTATTATTACATGGTTTCAAAATTACTAATGTATTATTACATTAATTTTAGAAAATAAAGTTAATCTCTATTTCCATATAATTTATTAGAATTTTCAAAATGATCAGTTCTGTTCATCATTTTATATATTGAAATCTGATTGTCTTTTCAAACAAATGAAACTTTAGATTTTTATGTACGTTCAAACAGAAAAAAGAAGATTTAGCCTAGATCAGGAGATAGCAATCAATTTTTAGTCCCTACAAGATGATGTAATAAATGTAATAAAACAAACAAGGCAGTCTATTTTTCTCAGTTGATCAATGATAATGAGGCTGAATGAAATCTCTTCATTTAGCTCTATTCTTAGTTGAAACAACCTAATAAAATCTGGCAATTGTTTTCCTATTAACATTACAAATGTTGTTGTTAATTGGACATTGGCATTTCATTCAAAAACGGTTCCTTAAGCACAAAGGTATATATCAAATCCACCCATGACCCATTATACATTCCTTTCTTCTCCAATGACACACACACACACACACACACACACACACACACACACACGTATAAGCTTTTGGCATTTAGAGCTCTTATTAGAAGAGCATTCCATTATTACTCCAATGTGTACAACAGGTTGTGACAATTGAATAAGATCAGAACCATTGCTAGAACCTTGGGATTTGGAGCAAAAGTTATTGAGGAGTTAATAAGCTCATACTCAAATCCTAACAAAAAGAAGACAAAGCAGAATATGAACAAAGAAATTACTAAGTTCACTTACAACAGAGGAATGTCCAATATCATGAAGGAAATTGCAGACTACAAGAATACAAGATTACTATACAAAAGGGTACCACAGTTTATAATTTGCTTAGAAATGATAAAGATACGATCAAAGAGGAAGAACAACTGGGGTATACAAGATACCATATAAAAATGATCAATTAGGCCTGAACAAAGAATATATAGGTGTCACTACTAGGAATTTCAGCAAAAGGCTTAAAGAGCATATATACAATGTAAACAAAGGGCACTATACTACGGCACTATCCATAGTAGCACAAACAGAGGGTTCGGTTGTTGAATAGAATGAGGCTAAGATTGGTAGACCAGTGCGCTCATTGTCTTTAGCAATGACTATAGAAAAGTTTGAAGTATATTGATCCAATCTTACTGGCAAGTGTTTAAACTACAAAGATGCCAGAGGATTACCATTGGCATGGAAATTTATGATAAAAAATAATGTAATAAAATATAATATGTAATGCACATTCGATTGATATAATTATGTATATTGTGTTAGTATTATTTTATTTTATTCCATGTATTTTAATTAGTTCAATTTAATATATTTACGAGGGCTGTTCGGAAAGTTCGCGGCCTCACATAGAAAAACAAACAAAATAATGTTAAAATTTTTTTTATTTTTCAATGTAATCTCCTCTGTTAGCAATGCACTTATTCCAGCGATGTTCTAGCTTTTTTATGCCATCACAATAGNTTTTTGTATGCAAAAGGTTTTAAATTAAACAAAAAATATGCTTAGAAGGTTCCACAACTTTGAAGATTATATTATAACTTAAACTGTCAAACATATTTCAAAGCAAAACAGATTATTTATCACCAAAATGAATAAGCTATCATTGAAATTGTGTTTTTAAGTTTAGAATTTCATCAATTATGCAGATAAATGTCAAGGGAATTATACTTTTGTCATTACACCTCTGAATGAAACAGTTGGAATCTTAACGCTACATATAACCCTCAGTGAGATACAATCTCCCGAAATCGGCCTACTTCCAGGCCGCACACGATCAGGAGTATCATTGCTCCACTAAAGACTATCACATTAAACTATTTAGCCCACGTTGCTATGTCATCTTTGAGTAGCTCACTAGACTGTTCGCGGAGTATCTGATGTTATATAGTTTTAGGGAGCATGGGGCTCACTCCATCACCAGTGCTTCTGTGCAAATGACTGCATCTGCCCCGTGCTCTACGTCAAGGCAAGCACGGAAAATAGGCATTATACTGGTTCACAGTAAAAGTTGACCTTCGGATGCAAATTTCTCTCATAGGGTGACACATACAGATATGGTTCCATTGACTTTTTTGCTCGTACGGGGGATCTATTACTCTGGGGGTGGCCAATTTCTCATTCATAATTCAAATCTTACTGAAATAAGAACGTTATATCATGGACTCATCTAATGTCAAAGAGATTTTTAAAAAAATTAATCGGTTGACTAATGAAAAATGAACGAGTAGGATGGAAAGCGTGAAGAATACATTAAGTTAAAAAGCTGAAGATCAGCCATCAGAAAGCTCGTATTAACAGGCGAAATGTTATTAATTCAAAATGAGGATCGTGATCCAATTTCCGAAATGCCCCCAAACAATAGTTCACAAAAATCTCGCAACTTCATCGTAAATATAAATCTAACCATTCAAATTATAATATCCATTTTACTACCTTATAGCTTAATAATTCTCCAACATCCATATTAGTGTTAAGAAAATCCGGCAGACGACACCAGCGACACCACACTCACCATAAAATCGGTGACGAATTATATTATTAAACTCGTAATTAAAACAAAAATTAAAATTAATTTAAAATTAAGAATACCATTTAACAAAGAAGATATATGTTACTAAAAAATTCGATAATTTTCTAACGAGAAAAAAAATAATAAAACGCGAAAGATATTTACCGCAAATTCGATTGTGTTATTGAGTTTGACTCCAGTGCAGTGGTTATGGTCGCCTGGATTTTTGTATTCGTCTGATCGTTATAGCCGGAAATATTTCGACAAATAACTTTAAAAATTCTCCTTATAATTATAATATCGGAGACTTAATCGATTGGCAGATAAAATATCTTCATTAAACGGTAAGTATTTAAATTCTCCTCACTTATAAATGTGTAAAAATCTTTTGTTTATGACTTAGGCTTAGAGATTCATCTTAGGCCTAATCAAATATGTTTTTCGTTTTTATACACAAAAACTTTTTTTTAAAACTATAAAAGTTATGACGAAAAATGCGTCATACAAGCAATTATATAAATACTAAGTGTAAAGCCTTGATAACAATGCACTTTGATAGAGTATTGTTGAACAGAAATGTTCAATTTCGTTGTAATGTACATTTTAATGTATTGAAGTGTACATTGCACGTGTAATGTACATTTTTAAAGTGCTTTATACATAAATGTACATATAAATGTGTTTAAAGCTGATTGGCTCGTCGTGTATTGTTTTAAATATGAAATTGTTAATTAATAATGCTGCTAAAACTGGAATGTAATGAACATTCGGCTTAAGTAATTAAAGAGTTAAAAGTGTGTCTTGATAAAAGTCTCCCTGCAATTTTTCAGATGATAACTTCGCTCCTTAGAAATCAACCTAATTCTACAGGACATCGTCGGTTGAGTGTTTCCAAATTTTGGAACGCTCGACTGATGAAGACCCATCAAATTAGGTTGAAAATGTTTTAGTTTCATTAAACTTCTTGCTGGAGTTGATTTCTAAGGTGTGAAGTTATTATCTGGCATCCCCTCCAGTTTCTATATTTTGTTACATTGCAATTTTTCATTCATTTGATGACACTTAAACTTTCCATAATAAATGATGTTGAGTACTGTTGTATTTTACTCAACAAAATAATTAAAATTTTTCTATGTAATATTTATTTTACTTAATTATAAAAATGTTCAAAGATATGTTAATTATAAGAGAGTATAATTTTATAATTAATATATCTTCGAATGCTTTATTTTGAAATTGAAATATAAGAGTGTGTATTTTTTGATAGTACTAATACATTTTTAACTATTTTTCACAAAGCAGTAAAGTATCTTTCAGAATATTAATTTTTTTAATTAAGTAAACTAACTACAAAATAGTAATTAATATTACATAATTTATTAGAATTACTATTTGCTTGTAATTCAACAGTGTTTGGAAATCAACTTTATATAATATTTCAAAATGTAATTGCATAAACCAAGTCTGGCATATGGTAATAAACAAATAAAACGTATGATTTTAGATTTTAAACTCCAGAGATATTGTTTACTTATTTCAAAATATATACTTATTAGATAGAAATAAAAAATGAAACAATGATTTTAGAGCTGTTTTGTTTAAAAAGTATTAAAAAATATGAATAGCATTTAAATTTTTGTAGGGAATGTTTGACTACTACAATATTTATCATATTAAATTATCCACAACTGTGAGGCAGATAATAGTGAGGTCTTACCAGACCAATGATGGGCACAAACGCTCAGGGATCAAAGTGAAAACGATTTAATAAACTCAAAAAATTAGTTTTTGAGTTTATTAAAGTTTTTGAATTTATTTTTGAGTTTATCACTATTATCTGCCTCACGGTTGTGGATAATTTAATTAATATAATTATATCAAATGCTAGAAGCAACATTTGTAATAATTTTGTTACAATATTTATATTTAAAAAATTAATAATTATTAAATATTGGAATATATGTTTAGCACTTAGAACATAGGAACTTTCAATTAATTATTGTCTTATGTATATATATGAAACATCAGACGTAAAGGATGTTTTTTTAGAGGCCTAATATTCTTAACACTATTTGAAAAAGTAATAATAGCAGATGATTTTTTTTTTACTTCTTACAGATGTATGAAAGAGTCAGAGTTAGCTAACAAATGTTCATATATTGAATATAAAATGTATGCTAATTGATTAATTTTGATATCAGAGTGCATTTACTTTTACAATCTGAGTTACTGAGCACCTTAAACATGTTTACTTTAGAAATTGGAGTGTGCCAACTGCATTTACATTTAGAATCAGATTTTACTTCAAATGCATTCAACTTGTTCAGAATTTTTGGAGCAAGCACAGGAAGCATGTCAACAACAAAAATGGTGTCTGCATCCATATGGCTAAAATGTGTTGTATGCTCTTTAATTTTTGGATTGGATTGATATTTTCAAAATGTGGTTGTTTTGGAATTATCCATAATATCCAAAATCATATAGCTGAAAGCCAAATGATACAAAATTATGTACAAAATGAAGGTTAGTATAATTGTGTAGTTTCTTATAAACATGCAATTGCTCAAACACATTGCTCAGAATTGCTCTCCACTGAGTTCAAAAGTAAAATTATTCTCAGTCAAAGATGATTAATACTTTTATTTAAAGATATCTGAATTATTTGAACATAGTAAATAGGAAATTGAAATTAACATCTAATTTTTTAATAATAATAATGACTAGCTTTTAAAAAGCTTGGTAAAAAGTTTATGCTCTAGCCTATAGATAAGGGACGATCGAAACATTTTTGTAAGTACTGCAATGACATATGACATGCACCATATCTAGAATGAGCTGATACAAACCCAGTGATCTAGTGCAATTAGTAAGATATTTGTTGTATTCAGAATTGCACATGGAATGTGTGCTACCAAATATGTCCAAATTAGATTAATATGCCATTGTCCTATTTTTGGCTGAAGAAAGACATAAACTGTTGGACATTTCATCACAGAATGATGAAGACATATAAGGATGCAAACTGCCATTGTGAAATGGTGTGCAAAGTTCCTTGAAGGTCGTGACGATAGTGGGCACCCCCATGTTGACAATGTCATCAGACAGAAGTTGACACCCTTACATGGGAGATCCTTGAATCATGTGCCCATAAAGTCCAGATCTCTCACCATGTGATTTTCATGAGTTTAGTTTGCTGAAAAGGCAATAATTCTAGTCAAACAATGACATGAAGAGGGCTGTAATGGAGTTTTGTATGCATCATCCAAGACTTCTATCAGACGGGCATCATTAATTCAGTTCATCAAAGGTATGATTGTCATAACACCAGTGGTACAGTGGTGATTTCTTCTAAATGGAATGAACTTATCAGGCCTACAGCCCTCAAACAGAAACTTTTACAAAAATGTAAGGGATGAACAAAAAGTAGAGAGGCCATAAACTTAGCATAATAAATTTGGTAAGAATGCAAAATTATAATATTTTACACTACTTTAATTTGAAAATTGTGTCAAAAGAACTTTCATTTAAACTTTATGTATAATTTAAAGAAAGAACAATACTTTTATTGAATTAACTGTTTCATTGGTATCAAAAATTTTCTTGATAAGATAAATTTTTTTCTATATGCTGAAAATACAATATCCTTTTAATGTAAATACAAATATGGTTTTTTATTAATTGATTTTTTATTGAAATTTAGTAGCACTCCACCTAGCAATATTGATATAAATGCAGATACTTTTGAGTTTGTTAAAATGTGATCTGTACATTACTGCTAAAAATTTATGTAAAATTGATATTGATATGTATAAAATAGTTTAAAATCATTAAATAAGCCACTTATTCTTTAAACATATGTAATAATTAAACTAATATAGAACATTGCAAATAGTAAATTATTTGAGTGATCATAGAAATTCTTGTAGTTAGAGATTAATGTAAATTTTCAAATTAATGTATGTAGAAATAATGATAGAAATAGAAGTAACAATAATCTTCCAGCATTCAGCTATTTCTTTCAACCGTCTTATGGATAGAACAATGAGGTTCTGGCGTTTGTAACATCTTTTGTCCTTTTTGCATCACCAATTATCATCTTTCCTCACATGTCTCTCTCTCTCACCGACAATCCCTCATTTATTGTCTTAACAGTTTAGGAATGTTACTCATGTAACCCTACATGTAGTTTTACTTATTTAAAAGACTCCTATAAAGTTTAAAATCTTAAGCAAAAATTTATACAAAGATATCAAATTTAATTTAATTTATGTATTTCAAAAATTTTTTAACTTTTGATATGATATAGAAAATAAATTAAGTAATTTTTATCTACATTTACATTTAATTCATTTTTTTAATAATTTCTAGTTTTTTTAATTATTTGAAATAAATGTTATTGTTGTCTCAGATGTTTTTACATTTGATCTAAATTAATTTGAGGATTTTAAAAATGACAGCTGTTTTATATCAAATCTAACAAATGCTGTAAGCTCTAATTACTGCTAAAATGAAATACTGAAAATAGAAACTAAAATAGCATGTAAGAAATTTTTGTTAAAAACATATTGATAAATTACTATAAATTAATTATGAAAAGTTGTTTTTTCAATATAAGTGTAAATAGAATGTTAGGAGTTTTTTTATTATATTCATATAAAATATACTGTGTTCTTCAATGTTTATTCTTAAAACTGTGAGCTGCATTGATATATGCAAGTTGTGTTGAATGTATTTGAGCATTTTTATTTTATATTGAAAAAATTATTTTTCAAACTGAGTAGTATGGCTTTTATAGAACAAAAATCTCTCTTTTTTTCCCCCCTGTACATTGTAAATAGTTCTGTGGATCAAAATGATTTAACCTTGAGATTAAAATTCTTGCAAACAGCCTTAAGAGAAGAACCATAATAATAAAATGTACAGTACTTCATTAGCACTGAAACATGTAATATTTTCAGTCCTTTTAACCTCTTCAGGTTTTATGTAAAAATGTATAAT